GCACAGGACCGTCCAGTATTTATGAGCAACTTAGGATATTTTCTCGTTCCTGAAACTAGTAGGATAATAGGATTTTGACGGGATTTTTAGGACACCGCCACAAGAAAAACCACCTGATCAAAGTCATTACCCTGTACCTTTTGTAACACTAGTCGAGTAGTGTGTGGGGCAACAAGATCTCGAAGAACTGGCGTGTAGTTTTCGAGGGAGAAGGTCAGAAAGAGCCAGAGTCTCACAGCTACGCTGGCCATGAAGAAGTAAAAAGTGCCAGAGACTTCATTCTTACGTCATGCGAGCAAGCATGAAAACCGCTTTCATTTGATTACAAATAAAGATATGTTTTGCTAGATTTTGAGCTCGTCAAACACGCTATAAAGTGAATGATATTTGTTAATGCAGATAAGGTCCTCCAGTCAAAAATATTTTCGAAATGTTAAGTCGAAAATCTCATTTACGGATAGAAATATGCAACTTCGTATGCTCTATGCAGCTAGCAGTATGAGAACGCTTGATAGTATTCGGTCAGGTCGGATTTCCCTGTTCTAACAGCCTAAAATCGCTTCAATTCAGAACTTATGATCGAGGAAAAATCGTGTCCGAAATAATTTTTCTAGGGGACCTTTACATACCTTTAGTAGGACTATCAATCGCATATAGTCAAACCTTCCCGGCTTTTAGCACATAAATACTGGGCGGTCCTGTGCGGAAGTGTTCATATATATATGATACTTTGATTTCTTAAGAATATGTAGGTATTTCAAAAACGGATTTATTACTAAGTTTAATCCTTGTTGAGCGAGGAAAGTTAAGTAATTCATTTGCATATATATATGGATTGTGAGTCACAACCCATGTACTAAAAATTACATTAAAATTGTGAATTAATCCTGGAAAATCATACGATCGATCGTGAGTTTAATCGCGATTAGTTGATGATTTTCTTTTGGGTAAGAGATTCAAGCCCATCTGAGGAAATAGATGTTTTTTCTAGTTTTTTTTCATTGTTTTTAATATGTAATGACATGTATGCCACCTGAACTGCATCAGCATAAGTCGGAGTCTTCCAGACAAATCGGTGTTGAACATTTCGCAAATATCAACTGTTCACTGGGCTTCTCCGTTCACAGCTAAAATAAAACGAAGAGCATTTCTGGTTTAAATCGTCTTTCTTATATACTTATTCTACTGCAAAATAAAACGCAATAACAAAAATCCATTTAATCGCTGCTTTATCTTGAAATAGTCTAAACATTTTAGTAAACTCACTAATTGAACGTTCGCAGTAGCTTTGTTTAGTACATTCTTGCATCTGACCTTACACGGAAATATTATTCTGTTCATTTATCACTTTAGTGTAATTAACCTTTTTAATAATTGTATTTGTTTTGAAATGCTATTAGGGTTTTTGTTCTATTTTGTAGGTTTCGCATGGTGGTTGTTGAAACCAAGTCACAAATTTATGAAACGAAATTACCCTATAGCGTGCATTCTAATGGTCAGTAATTTTTTAACAATAAGATGAAGTATAACATAACACTAAGATTTATAATTACTTTTTAAAGTGACGTTAAAAACTGCTGATTATTTCCATCAAAAATGTTTCACCTTTTCTCTCACTAGAACATACCGATTTAGACACGCACACCAGTGATCATTCAACAGCATACATCGGTTACGAGTATTTAAAACTGAAACCGCTGTTATATCCTTGTACCATAGAATTTAGTCTCATGTGCTTAACAGTGCGTAAATCTAAGAGTAACGTTTTTCTTCAATAAGTAAATTCATCTTCATTCTATTTTTTACTCTAGTTATTTTTCCTAATTTGGGAAAATATAGGTAAAACATTTGCCTACAAAATGTCTGATAAAGCATCAACAAAAAATGTATTTATGGTTAACTGTCAATCATCAATAAAAGGATTATTTACCGGAATGATTATATTCTCATGCAGTGTTATCAGTATTATTTTATATGCCAGTTTTCGAAATAAAAGTGGCATTGATTCACATCATTCACTATCAGCTGGTGACTTGCGTAAAGAACATAATGCACTACAACATCTATCACATAATAAATCATCACATAGTTCTATGTTCAATGGAAAAATAAATTACAGTATAGCCATCATCGAAATAGGTGAGTTTTGCTTTTCGAAACATTTTCTACAATTGATAGTTGAGAGTATATTAAGTTTAAATTAATGTTCTAGTTAATCTATGGCTACTTGTTATGTCATTGATTGCAACAACAGTAGCATTGCTCAAAATAAGAAAATTGAATTATTTTCGAACAACTACACGTACATATTCTTATTTTCTATGTTTTAAAGTTATCGTATGCTGTTTTTTAAATTTAAGGTTTTGATGAATTATTGATTATTGTCTCACTAACGGGAATTTACTTATATAGGTGAATTATAACTCCATCTGAAAGAAATAGATGTTATTTAGGAAAAAATATTGTCTTAATTGCCTAAATTTTCATATCATTATCTAATCTTGCTACAAACACGAGAGTAGAACAGAATTATTCTTTAAACATATGTGAATATAAGATCAATTTAGGATTACATACATGATTTTTTTTCTTTTTTTGTGACTTCCATATATTGTTAAGCCCTTGAGCTGTTACACCGAGGGTTATTTCAGTATGCTGGTAATCACAGATATAAAGAAAAAATACAAGTGCATGATAAAACATGTTACATTTTTTTTTAATAGGGACATTGATTGAGAGATTGATTTAACACTAAAAATTTTACACAGTACAGAGAAAAAATGAACGAAAATAACTTCTCTCTGTTACGTCACTTCTCTATCGTCGACAAAGGCTAGCCATGCTACAGCATCGATTCATGAGTCTTTCTTTGTTTTATGATGCGTTTGCTAGCCAAATAGTGACCTGTTTTCAAATTTTTCGCCGGATGATAAAAGTCCCAATAAAACACATCTTCTAGGATAGGGGAGTTGTACAGGTCAGAATGTGTTTTTCGATAGTTTTAGTTTAGAATACTATAATGAAATATTCTTCCGCTTATATTCTGACAGAATAAAACTTATATCAATCGTAGAAGAGCAATAGTCTCCCTTTTAAGTATCTAACAACATACTAATCTAACTGTTCCTCCCCACATAGCGTCTTATATCAGATGAATTAGACACTATTCGATGCAGTTTTTCACGATGATTCCGAATATGTTATTATTTTTGAGAAGAACTGCTTTGAAACAGAAAAAGATGAAAGAAATCTCGAAAAAACTAGGTTTTTGGAAAACCTATAACTACAGCCGGGAGCATTTATCATAGTTGGAGGACATGTAGAAGAACATTCTGTGGAAGCCCGAACGAATTTCGAGTTGGGGTGTGGAGGAGAGGCCCATTTTACTGAAACTATCTGTTTAGGAAAGCACTAAGCGCGGAAAGAAAATTGTTTTTTCCTAACAGAAATGATTAAAAAAAACTTTTTTTATAAATCCATACAGTGACAGGTCGAGTTTGAGATTATGGACGATTTTGAACATAATATTTGTTCCTATGGGTGCCACCGAACTGCTTTTCTAAGGAGCTGAGTTTCAACACGAAATTTTCATTAAGTGTTTTCTCACTAACTACAGCAGATACAATGAAAACCTTTTACCATTAAATAGCCCGTGATTCAAAGTATATTTGCCACTATTTGAATCTCGAAAAATTGTGCTTTCATTTTCTCACTTAATGCCGACATGATTACTCACTGTCCATAGGTCAAAAAGTCCCTCGACATCGGCGAAGTCCTATCCTAAACTTTCTATTTAGCATTTCGAGGAGAGTGCGTGGTAAAAAGGTATAACAGGGAAAGAATCACGTAAAAAACGAAAATGAAGTAGAACAACAAAAAATCGTACTTTTAGGGATCATTATACACTATTTATAGTGTTAGTATGTGTTATTTCGAAGAAATAAAACTTTTTTAATTTATTGCTAGCGCGGTAGAGTGTATAATACAGAAATTTAGTCAGTAAATGTCATTTGTATCTGGAGGGAGTAATAATTCTTTTTTTATTTATTATTATTATAGTATATTCAGTGCATTTGCAATCATTAGTAATAGACATACAGCACCTTGGATTGCTTATGTCAAAATGGCGATTGTCATATTAGGTAAGCATTATTTTCAATGGGCTTATATTCTGTAGCTACGTATTTGATTGCTAGAACTTTTCGTTAGCACTACTCTCTTAATCCATCTATTACTAAATTTAAATTAATGATCTTTGAATTTATTTTTATTATTTTTGATTTAGAATTTATTGAAGGAACTGTCCATGCATTTTTTATTCTTATTGCTTTACGTAAACGTTTAAATCGAATGAATAAGAACAAATATCCTACGCGTGAAATAATTACATTATTAATAATGATTGATTTAAGCCTATGGTTTGAAGCAACAACAACAACGACAAAACATGAGGCAAATCCATTTCAACTGGATTTTTATCACGTCATACCATGGTCAATTATTGCTGCGATTGCCACACCATTGCAAATATTTTTTCGTTTTCATTCATCTGTATGTTTATCTCACGTATGGGAAAATATGTACAAGACAAGCGATGAATCGATCGATCATCATTGAATATGAAAATAAAACTTTTTTATCTGTCTAAGTTGCCTGTGAGTTCTCCAGACTCCTGCAAAAAAGATTTTTGTATTTTTGATAGTATGCTCAGTTTTATATAAAAATACATCTGATTTTCACTCTCTAACTTTCTTTATCTCTGTTCAATGAAGATGATGAAATATAATAAGTCAAACATATTCAACTTTTATATTCTATTTGTTATACATAGTTGTAATCCGAGTAAGATATTTTATATTCACTTTTATTTTTTTGTGAACATTTTTTCACTAATTTGTTTTTTACAGTTTGTTGTAAGTGAACTTATTAGAACTTATTCAATTGTTTACGTAGAGAGTTTAGAGGTAGTGACGTTTTTATCGAATAATCATTATACTTTGATATATTTGTGTAGTAGAAATTGAAGGAAATTTCCATAAAAAAAGTTTATTGAAATTTTAAGATTTGAATAAACGAGCAAAAAATAATGTTAATTTACTATGGTGCAACGCACATCGGAATATAACATGTATTAGGGCAACATTTTTCATATTCTTTGCACTCTTCATTAGTATCGCAATCGTAAATATCACAAACATGTCATTACGTACTCAATGATTGTATGAAATTTTGTGAAGGATATTTTTCATTTTTTGGAATACTTTTTTTTGGTTTAATACGTTTAATACAATGTATGCCGTATGATTAACATCTTTTGTTATTGGATTATAACAACATTTGAAATCATTTATACTGATGGTATGTCGATACAAAAACTTTACGAAATTGTATTTTCCAACATTGTTTGTTGATAATAATTTCATAAATAAAAAGATTACTAAATGAAATTATTCTAGAAAAACGTTACATATCCATGTCAAATGTTTTTCGCGATTTCTGCAGAAAAGGGCATTTTTGTGGCCACACTAACGCAACACTAGAAAACACATTATTCGTATATGCGTTTTCTTGCGCTGTATTTTTTCACGCAAAACTAAAAAGAAAAACGATATTTTTTTGTCTTTTATTGCAGAATCTTTTTTTTACATTATACTGCATATGATTTTCAGTCCAGTTTTGCAGAAATAGTTTTTGGTTTAACATCGCAACAAAATGATGACTCATTGCGATGAATCATCGATGAGTCATCATATTTAGTGTATAATTTGAAAAAGCGGAATTTGTGCAGCCTTATATCTATATCAACGGTCCGTTTTTCACTCCTCTTCGCTACAAGGAGAGCGATGAGGGTGAGCGTGTGTCGAGTGGTGGGATGATCAGTGGATCGAGCCGCGAGGGTTGCCTATGGGCAGGTTCGATGGACCTGCCAGCGATACGGATATGCATTTGTTAATTGTGTTTCAGCTGCATCAAGTGTGATTGCTGTTTTATTAGCAGGATCCTTTTTAAGTTCACATGCAGCTTTCACTGCGTGTTTTAAAAGAATGTCGCAGATTCTAAGCTTCATATGTAACAAATCCACCACGACGTTCTTGTAGCTAAATCCAAAGTTTGCATAAATATATTATGAGGAACACTTTGTCGATGTGTACTGACTCAAAAGAAGCTTCATATAAGGGCTTTCGAACATAACCTTAATTCAATGAATTTGACTTTGCACCACTAGCGCATTTGTATATGTTCTCTAATTGTACGTGCACCTCGTTCTTCATCGAATGCTGACCAATTATGAAGGAACGATAATAATTGTTCCCTTCTGAATGATTCTTCTTTTTCTCTTTCAACAACTGATACTTTGATTGGATTTACTTCATCATCAGTCAGTGTACTCTTCCTCGTTTTCTTTGCTTTCTGTTTATTATTCTCTTTCTTCTTAATTGTATCGATAGTATACGTCTTATTTCTAGTCCTTGCTTTTGCACCACCTTTTATGACTGAAGAATAACGCTGTTCCTACAATTAAAAGAGAAATATTGCTGTTTTAAGAAGTAAATGAGCCAAATTGCTAAACTGCTACTGCAAGTCCAATTTATACTTTTACGATATAGCTACTCGATAAATGCTAGTAGTTTTTGGAGATAATATTATACCATATTATCACAATGATTTTCTTCCTTCTGCTTTTCTTCTGTATCAGCGCTCGTTGGGTTTTGATGTTGATCTGGAACAGGTAGATCATTAAAATGAGGGATCCGCATAAGGCGGTAATCGGTGCATTTTATTTTTCGCCTAAAAATGATTCTGTGAATAGTACAAAAGTATTATCAGCCGGTTTTAAGTAATTTTGCGTACTTTTGGTAATTAATTCCGAGTAAGTTTTTATCAATAAGACGTCAATAGCTCATTCCCCAAAGATCAGCTAGGTTACGTAAAAAGTGTTCTTCTTATGTTCCTTTCACGTAGGCGACAGAGTAAATGTCTCATTCGATAGTCCCTAAAATTCTCTACAGAATGTGTATGACATAACAGTTAACAACAGTGCTTTGATAGCAGTACGTGTTTTTTCCAGGAAAAGTTGAAAAGACCTAGTGAAACTAAATTTTGAGGAAACTCGGCCAATTCAGCTATAAGTATACAAAAGTAAAATCCTCGAATCTCACTCAAAACCTAACCGAACCGTTTGAAACTCTCAGAAAATACTCCTTTTCCCTTGATTTACATGTCGATAGAGTTAGAAAAATAAGAAGATCTATTTTCCTATTATTAGAATTTTCATAGATTTTCCAGGAATCCATCGTAAAAGAATATATTATCTTAGAGCTGTTTTCCTATTCTAACTGTTCAAATCTACTACTGTGATCATATCCTGAGAGTTTCCCTGGGTTTTGAGTGAGATTCGAATATTTTACATCTATATACCTGAATAGCTAAATTGGTGGATTTTCCTTAAAATTCAGTTTCACTGGGCTCTTCCACCTTTTCCTGGAAAAGAACATTGCCATGAGATTCGGTATGTCGGGTAACCTATGCTTCATTTACTTTAGAGGTTATCAGAAGCAGAGACAGGATACCTAGACCTTGACCTGTGACATGTGCGGGTCAAGGTCAAAACTTGTAGGAGAAACTAGAAAGTTTAACTGTAAGATGGCTTATTGTTATTCGATCTAATGAACAATTTTGCCTCGGGTCTGGTCCTGACCTATAAAGTTGAACCTGGACCTGTGGACCTGCACCTGAAAAAAACAGACCTAGACTTGGACCTGACCTATGACCTGAACTTGTGACCTGGACGCTGGGTCCGTTGCATGAAAAAATTCTGATAGTGCGAATTTACAATATCCTGTACTAGAGTTTAAGAACAGTTCTTAGAATATATGAGAAGCACGTGATAGATATTTTGAACAAAAATGTCTTTAGACAATAAGGTTATTACGATTTTTCATATTGTTCTCAGAATTTCCAACAGGAGAGAAAATGTGCATGAAATAATTCAGTTTCACACTGCTAGATATAGTCAATGACTGATATGTTGCTTATGCCGACAGGTCACAGGTAGAGGTTCAGGTCAAAGTTCAGATCTCCTTTTCCAGGTTCACGTCTTGCAGGTCCAAGTCCGCTTTTGCTAGGTCAGATCTGGACATTTGACCTGGACCATCCTGTCTCTGATCCTGAATACCAGTCCTGGGTCTATCAACAAAACTGATACCATCTCTAAAACTACACAGGCTAAACCTACTAATGAAGATATCATACGTAGCTTAATTTGTAGGAATTCGACTAGCTTTAAAATGGTGATACACTTAAAACAAATTTAACTGTTTGCCACGTTACGATAAATTTTCCAGCCCACCAAAAAATAACAAGGTCGTTTTTCAGCTAATAATGATTAAAACCGAGTAGCCGGTGATTTTTGAAAAAGGACAAGTTGAAGATGAACTCTTTTTCTGACATCGACGCACCACAAAGAATACTAGTTTAATGTGAGTTTTTAGGTTAAAAATGATGAAATTCCCACCGATATTCAGAAATCGGTTTATTCTTACTTTTTTCCAGAAAATTAAGCGTCAATGGGTCCCTCTGAAACTCAAAATTCGAAAAGATCGATATGGGGGCTAATATGGAGCCGATATTTCAGAGGAATTCCACTGTGATAATTGTTAATCTTACTCATGGGTCTTTTATTAAATACGGTTCCAGCTTGTGCAACAAAAGTCGATGTAAATGTAGGAGTGGCTTCATAGAAATATCCAACAGCTGTTTTGTATCAGAAAGACCGATCCATTTTTACCAATAACACACGGTATAATTATACAAAAATTAAGAGATACAGTAAAATAAGAATATTGAATCAATATGATACGAGCACCATTGTTGCCCGTTTCTATTGCCTTGTATAGAGGATACATTGAGCTACTCAACCATGTACTCTTAGTGAAAAGATTATTTTGGCTTCGGTATCCTTTGTGCAACATCTTTGTTTTCAAATATCAGGTATATCGTCTGAAAATCCCCATATCTCAAAAGTTGCAGCAAAGCCTCTTCTACAAAATACCGAGAACTGCAGATCTTTGTCTGTGTTCGTTCGAGAGTTATTCGAAAAATAGTTACGAACACTATATCTTGAAATGAATAGTAACATTTAGATGAACTTACGCTTATACAAAGAGTAATTCATTTAAAATTTCTTCGATGCGATTTCGTTAAATTAGTTACAGTATGAATAGGTGCTGCTAGAGTGGCAAATTTGGGAATGAACTTGCGGTACCAGCTGAGGGCTCCGATGAACTTGTTAGCTTGAGTTAATGTTTTTGGTTCTTTCATTTCTAAAATACTTATTATTTTATGTTCTACAGGCGTTACTTTATTATATGTTATAGTATGGCCAAGATAATTAATCTTTTCTACTGCTAATTCACATTTGGGTGGATTTAGTGTTATGTTTTTATTTCGAAAAAGTAGTGAAGACCTTTTCAGGATGATTGAGATGCTGTTCATATGAGTTGGAATACACGCTGATGTCGTCGAGATATACGAGTGAGAAATCACGACACGATTTCAAAGTGTTGGTCATCATTTTTTGGAAGGCCGGTGGAGAATTGCTTAGCCCTATTGGTAGTACATTGAATTGATAATGGCCGAAGCTAGTGATGAATGCCGTTTTTTCTTTGTCCTCTTCTTTTATGGGAATTTGATAGAAGCCGGATTTCAAATCCAGTTTAGAAAAATATTTATATCCATGTCCTAGTTTTTGTATTGTATCTTCCATGTTAGGGAGGGGAGACGAATCTTTATTGTAACCAAATTTAACTTTTTATAATCAATGACAAGACGATCCTTTCCATCAGATCTTTTCACTAATAACGCCGGTGCTGCGTATGGAGAATGGGACTCGCTTATCTGGCCAGCTTTTAAGAATTCCTGGCAAATTTTATACATAGATTCTTTTGTATTTGGTTGAGGGTATGGTCGTTGTGCAGGTGGTGAATGTGGAAGTGTGTTAATAACGTGATTTATTGGTGTGTTTGCAATATTATGTTTTGTGGTATCAAAAATAATATGAAAACGATGCAGAAGTGATAGTAGATCATCATGTCGTTTTTTATCTTCCGTTTTAGTAACTAACTGCTGAATATCTTGTTCAACTTTCGGATGGATAGATGGTATTGTATTACAAATGATGAGTGGTTGAATGGTGTTATGTATATGATTGTCTTGCGTTGAGATATCCTTCTGTCCGGTACTACGAGGAACTGGTGACGCGTCAGAAAAACTGATCTCACCAAGTAAAGTACCTTTAGAAGAGCACGAGTGATGTTGACAATATTGGTGGGGAGGGTAACACAGGGCGGTTTATATAATCCATTCCTATTATCATATCGTTACAAAGATTTCTAGCTGCATGTGCATGGATTTTAGTTAATTGATCTCCGAATTTTATAGTTAATTCCACAATTCCTGATACCAAGAACGGTGCCACTTCATCTGCTAATAGAAAAGAATATGAATCTTTATTGATGTATTTATGATGTTTTGTTTTTCTTAACGATTTTTCGCTAATAAACGTTGTTGTGGCTCCAGTGTCAATTAATATACGCATTTTTGTATTGTTCACGAGCGTTGTAATAAAAATTAACGATGATTTTGATGGGTTTATTTTATTCTGGCAGGAGGCAACACCATCTTTCGATGACTCCGTAACTAGAAAGTTGGACAGGCCGGAGCTCCATGTCCAACTTGACCACATTTATCACAACTAGTAGATGAAGGTAATGGTTGTTCGTAATTATTATCATTAAATGTGATCGGATTATCTATTGCATAAGCGGTATGTTGCTGTTGATAATTATTACGAAAAGAATTATTATTGCGTTGTCGATATGGATTAATGTAGTTATTAAATGATGGACGTTGTTGAATTGGACGAAACTGTGCGGGGATGCTCGATTGTCCTCTTGAAAATTGTTGTAGGCGAAAAGAATATCGTTGTGATTTTTAAGGATTGACGAAAAGAGGACGGATAAGGAGAATTATAATTATTTCTATAGTTATCATGAAACGGTGAGCGTGGTGTGATCAAAATTTTAATCGAAAGTATGGTTGCGGATCTGCAGATCAAAGTTACGATAACATGATGACACCCTTTTTATAATCTTCGAGTGATCGAGTTTTTTTTGATTATACACTGTGAGAAAAAATGTATCCAGAGCATAAATTCAACTCTTTTAAACATGTGTTTATGATATGAATTAAAAAATTAAATAACTTCATGCTAACACACAAATATGGAAATTGTCCAAAAATGTTAAAAAACGACATTTCACAAGCAACTAACAAATATGTGACAAGCTTTTTGCCTCCTATATACATAGATATTAGTTAGTTTTATTCTATTTTTGCTTAAAACAGTGAACAAATACAATCTGTGAATATTTGAAACAGGAGTAGCTTATTGAAAAAATTTTGCTAAGGTATTTTCTTGCCAAATTATGTTATAGAAACTTGTTTATCTATGGGACGTACCGTCAGCTGGACAAGCAGTATCAGTACTGGTATTGCGCCTGTTTGACTAATGCTAAATTCATATCTCATGAAAATTTAATTTCTAAATATCCTATTCATTCTCAAGCCATTAACAGTCTTAACTTTTTTTGGTCTATAAAAAACAATAATTCTTATTCGCTTTAGTTTGACTACACTAATATTCAACGTTTTTGCGATGTTCTTTGTATTCGTCCGAAAGTGCTGCCTTGTTTAAAGAACTGTCCGATTCTACACCTGATGTTATTTTGTCTTTGTCTAACCCCCCCCTCACATCAGAACCCCACCCCATAATAGAAGCCCATTAGAAGTCCAGTCTGGCAAGACATTTTTTGAAAATTGCCCCTGCCCCCATAGGGTACTTTTTGAGAAAATTTTGCCTCTTGCGGGACATAATAGAAGCCCACTGGGCTTCTAATGTGGACGGGGGTTTACTTTACTTTCTTGTAAAGTAGACGTTTTGACCTGTTAACCATAGTGAGCAATGAAGTGGTTGCTTGGTTGGTGCTAGTGAGCAAGTTGGTTTGGATCCATGGTGCTTTGGAGTGTAGTTAATGTTACTGTCTAACTAACGAGGGTACCTTTCAAGGTGATAAATCGCTTTTCGACTCGGACTGTTTTGATCATGTAGACCATAGTGAGCAATGACAAAGCCCAAGTTGATTTGGATCCATGGTGCTTTGGAGTGGAGTTAGAAAATTTTCAGGCTTTCTCTACGAGAAAAATCAAGGAAATACACTCGTATTTTGCAGTTTTCATCATCAAATTTCAAGTTTTTCCAAAACCAACATCATTTTTAGAATTAGCATTAAAAACTGCATCGAGCAACCTTTGTTTCAGAAGTTTTAGGCAACTTTGATTTTTTTCTGAAACAAAGGTTGCTCGATGCAGTTTTTAATGCTAATTCTAAAAATGATGTTGGTTTTGAGAAAAACTTGAAATTTGATGATGAAAACTGCGAAATACGAGTGTATTTCCTTGATTTTTCTCGTAGAGAAAGCCTGAAAATTTTCTAACTCCACTCCAAAGCACCATGGATCCAAACCAACTTGGGCTTTGTCATTGCTCACTATGGTCTACATGATCAAAACAGTCCGAGTAGAAAAGCGATTTATCACCTTGAAAGGTACCCTCGTTAGTTAGACAGTAACATTAAATGTTAGTGAATCGTCTTTAACTGATTCCAGTAATATTTCTGTTTTAAAGTTGTTTTTTCCGTGCTTAATTAATAGTTTAAATCAAGATCATCTAGTCAATTAATATGTTTATTAGATAAATGTATTGTAAAATTTTCTCACGTTAGACCATTAGATAAAAAGTTCTTTTACAAAAATAATTGATGATTGATGAGCTACTCAGTACGAATTGGAAAAATATTTTTTTCTAGTATTTATCACTAAAACGCACTAAAAAAAGTAAAGCCTAGCGCAGATGATCGAGAAACCGTCTATTTATCTCTATTATTAGTTTATGCTACCGCTTTGCCTTGTATTGTTCAATTAGTAAAGTCAGGGTTGTCTGGTCAACCACCTAGAGAGCAATTACTCCGACAATTTTCTCTTGTTGTCGTCGATTATGTTCTCGATAGTAGTAGAGCCAAGTTATAACTAGTAGGAGAATATCGATTCCAAAATAAAGAACATTAACTAACCCCGGTCCATCATCCATAAGCTCCAAACACGCCAGACCACGCGTTTCGTCATAACGCATGTTTGCCGGTGGAGTAGCTCCGTCAACAAAGCAATTGTACGGATGATTCTTGAGAAAAAAATCTCGTTGTTCTTTTGTGTCTTTATTCAAACCTTTAAGTCCGCAGCATTGATAATATGACAGAACCCGAATGAGACGCAGGTCCTCCGTACGATTTTGAAGTACATAATATTCTAGAGATCGTCTATTTGAATATGCATCAATGATTGTACCAGGAATTGGACGTGTGAAGCCAATCAGTGATGCAGTTGATGCCGCGATAAGTGAGACAAGAAATACACGCCACCACCACTCTCGCTTTTGTTTCGCAATCAAAGCGACAATGATAAATACTGATAATAATGAGCGTACTAAAAATACGGTCGCTAATGCATCACTACGATGATAATTACTGTAGTGGTGAAATAAGAGCGCATCGAAGAAAAGTAATATGAGAAAAGGTGTTATGGAACAATGAAAAATAATAATACATAAGTAGAATTTTTCAACCATTTTTTTTTGTGTTAGCAGTATGTGTGATACTGATATTCGTCTAATAATATTATATATATTTACAAAGAAACGAGAAATAAGAAAAAAGAAAAAGTGTTTTGTATATTTGTCAAAAACAATTATTCTTCATTAATCAGGAGTTATATTTTTGTTATTTATACTAACAATGGTAATAGTGAATGTGTCATATCCATCGAGCAGTGGTGGAAAAAAATTAGGCTTTATCAGTTGTACAACTTATAGGTGAGATAAATAAAAGTAATAATAACATGGTAAATAACGTATATGACTTTCGTGTTTTGCTAAGAAAAAAAGAATAGTATCTGGAAAGGAAATAGAAAGAGATTGACATAGATCATAATTTGTATAGTGTACTTCTTTTAGAGACATACAACAGTCTAGCTATACATATACACACATACTGATATAGAAAGTAAAAACCAAAGAACTGTGTTTTTATTTTCTTCATGCTCACAGCCACTGAAACTTGAAAACAAAGGAATCGAAACTTCAAAAGAAAAAGAAATGTAAACTAAAATCCGTCTACCTCATCCGATGAAGTTATGTTCAAAATTATTTTGTATAAATCTGTTTTTCAAAGTCGAATTCAAATTTTAAATTTCGGTTGTGATATATTTACTACTCGCGAAGGTTGAACCTACCCAGCCATTTGTTCGAACGATATTTCGAGTACTCGAAAATATGCTTTCGATGAGCCCTTGACAAGGGCCCATTTTCGAGTACTCGCCGCATCCCTCGAACGACTTTTTTCATCTGCACGGGCACTACGTACGGAGAAGGCTATTAATAGGGTACCTCGAACGTTATATGCTATAATCTCATCCATCTTATTGAAGGAAAATATATCTGTTTGATCTTTAGATTGTAAATGAGACATAAAAGCAGCAGATTTTAATTTTCTGTCTTCAATGGATCAAAATGATCCATCTCGTGTTTATTTAGTCTCTCGATTACTCCTTCGCAGTTATCTTTTATCGTGTACAGTTTGTCATTTTTGGCACGAAAATTGTCTTCTCATAAAAATCACCGCCATATTTTAGCATACGTTTTTCGTAGCAACTCAAACTGAAGAAAACCTTTCAGCCCTCTTCTGATTAACCGTTTACGAGTGCCAGAATGAGAAACGTGTCCTTTCTGTTTTAAGATTTTGAAACTTCAGCGAAGAGCTACAGATCTCGATATCATTGGAATAATTGGAAAATAGCCATCTCTAGTGTTTGTATACGTTATTTTCATTTATGTTCTGTTTAAGTTTAGAGACCTTTCTGAAACACAAAAATCCCTTAAAGTTCTTTTCTTGCTTCCAGAAAACCTCCTAACCTAAAAAAAATTAGACATTTTCCTCTATCAGACATTGGTTCTCTATCGGCAAATATATTCAACGCTTCAGCATGGAATAGCAGTCAGAACCGATTGAAATAGAATAGGTGAAAGACAAGAACGGTGGTCGTTTGATAGAGTGTGCCAGTGTATGTCGCGTATTTCGAGAATTTTTCTCATGTCTCATAACCTTTTATTTAAACATCGGTGGAAGCTAATAAGTATTACATTGTACTCTGTAATACGAACCTTGACTTGCGATAATCTGCTCAAAACAAAGTGGACGTCGTAAAATTAGTATTTCAGGGCTTCTAGAAAACTTTTCTGATCAAAATTTTCCAATATTTTGGGGGGTTGTTTGTTGAACGACATGTTTGTACAAATCGAGATCAATACGTTTTATCTGTTTTCTCATTTAAATTGAAAAAAAAAGGTATAAATTAGTATTAAGGTTAAATTACAAATTGTTCTACTCTAGTTATTGAACTGATATAGTGTGTCCATCGTTGATAAGCACTCGGAATCTATCGGAATTGCTAATGGATGAACAAGTTAGCGGTTTCCTTATATCTTTCAATTATTTTAATATTGCACCAAAATAATTAGAGCAAATTTTAATTCGAGGGTTACCAGGATTTTTTTATCTTTAAATAAACATAGTTTAAATCAATTAGTGAAATAGTAGAGAATAAATGATACTATCAAGTAGAATACTACTGTCGGCGCCAAAATATAGTGCGGCTGACTGTTTTTTGAATAACTTTCTATAGGAAAGAGATAGAGACCTGGGAGTTTCAGATTCTGAAAGTAGACAAAATTTGCCATAAATCCACATAAAACCAAGGTCTGCGGATCACCTGCAGGTGGTAAGCCTTGCGGGTTTTCCAAAGGCAATGTTCGCCAGACAGCTAAAAAAAGAATTTTTTTTTGTTCTCTTTGGGTTTCGAACAACCGACCGCTGCTCTACAAAGCCCTATAACTTTTACTTGGGCTCTCTCTACCCTTCCGAACAGGATGCGGATTCCTGCGGACCATCCTAATGCATGCTTTTTCCATATCCGGTCACGTGAAACTAGTGTACATATAGGTTTTCGACTACGCTGAATCACGTGGCAACCTTTGTTTCTCGATTAAAAATTTTTTTTATTGAAAATCAGCTCTACGAAGAGAATTTTTAATTTTTAAAAGAATCTACCTTTTTTCTGTTTATATCGTTGCCAGCAACAAAATGAGAAGGAAGAAAATCAGTCGCAAAATATGACTGGCACATTGATGAAATCTGTTTTACCATAGTTATGCCACCCTAGATCCAAACTATAACAGATTAATCAAAAAAAGCAGGAAGCCTTGTGGTTTTCCGAAGAGGTTTCTGCAAAACGGATGGACAGAATATTCTTGTTCCCGTCCGCTCCACGATCATTTATCACTGAAACACTTGGTGCTGAATGGTGCAGCCTGGCCTCATTTGCGTAGAATGAGACTGGATGAAAAAAACTTATCAGAGCAGAAATACGCAGAATAATATTTATCAGTCCTTCGCTACTTTACCCTTACCAAGGGTAAACTATTGGTTATCAATCATCCCTTAGTTACCACTGTATATATAAAATGCGCTTTCACAATCAAAGTTTATCGTACAGGTACAGTCTACTTTTTGTGATACACAGCTATCAATATCGCTGTCAATGCACCTTCTGTGTGCATATAAAAATAGATATTGTCTGTATATATGCATATAAAAGGGAAAAAAATCAAGCTGAAAGAAACTACAAGCAGAACGAATAAAAATGCGGCATGTTTGAAGTTGAACGATGAACTATACCGCTGAACACCGTGGTATTCTAACTGGGGCTGTTGAGACTGCAAATCTGCGTTTATCCAGACGCGATCTTGGCATCGTACAACGGAACTCATCACGCTGATTCGGAATATGGAAAAATCCAAAATACCGTTTCTCTAGAAAAAAATCATCAAATTTTGACATGCTATACTCGGTTGTAGAGCACCTTTTTCTGAGATCACATTGCCACAACCAAACACAGAATGCAGAACAGATCGATCCAATGGAGATAATCCAGCACGTACTTAATAGCCTCAATACGGATTTACTTTCATATTCAGACCAGACAACATATTCATAATTTGTTTCATTGTAAGAACAGGAATATGTATGACCAATCTATTTAAAGAGTTAAAGTTATATCAGTTCATTATACAATCGGCATTACTTACTTTATACTTGGCTGATGCTTTTTCTACCTTAGACTTTTCTGTCGTATAATGTTTAACAAGATGGATAATTGCCGCTAAAGTTTTGTTCACAGTGTTGTTTCTTCCAGTAATGTTATAGTTCACATACCATTTCAAATTATGACAATCAAATGTTTCAGTTTGTAAGTAACACGGTTTGGTATCAATTAATAAATTTTTAATAAAACAGCGTGTAGCAACTAGATTTCGTAGTTTGACGTTTTGTAAATATACACGTGGTGTCATAATTAATGCAAAAGAGAACGCAAACAAGGTAATAATAACAACACAAATTATTAAACCGATACCGATCGATGATTTGCAAATGTTTTTTGTCATAATGTTAATATCAGACTGCATTTATTACCAATAAAAACTTACAGTGACATCTTGTATCGAACAAGCTTATTTTCTTTTCAACGTCTGATGTGTATTAATACTATAAGAGTCTCCTTGTGTCAGCTGATTAACTGAATGACATTACATGAGTTACTTCTGCTTTTTGAATTTTATTTACTTAGATTTCTATGTATATCTATGAAAAAAGAAAATTAATTCAATAGTAGGAATGTACAACAAACCACATTCACTGTGAAGAACTAAATATGCGTTTCAAAAACTAATTTGTTAGTAGTAACATGTCCTAGTATAAAAGAGTTATTGTAAGAGTGCTATAAGCGTCGAAAACCGAGTCGAATGATATATGTTTCGAAATTTTTCATTGATTTTCAGTTTGGGATGAAAATCACAGTAATTTTTCGACGTGAAAATTTGAAAAAAACAAAGGTGATTTGACAGGATAAAAAAAGTACAACATTCGACTCGGTTTTCGACACTAACTCCGAATATGATATTTTTTTTTTACATAAAAAGTGAGTTCTGGTGCAGAAAATAGAGAATTCTGGAGAAAATTTCGATTTTTTCGCTCTTGATCCAGAAAAAATGTATTTTCCCAGTGATAAAACAAAATAAATAAAAGAGTGCTGCATATTTTCGCATACTCGTTTGATTTGAGGGCGGTTCTAATGAAATAGAAAATTCGGCTTTCATCTCTGCAGAAAAAAAATGTATGTCACTATGACAATCAAATGTTTCAGTTCGCAAGTAACACAGTTTTGTATCAATTGATAAATTTTTAATAAAACAGCGTGTAGCAACTAGATTTTGTAGTTTGACGTTTACAATTATTACGTACAAATTATTAAACTGATACCGATCGATGACTTGCAAACGTTTTCTGTCATATATTATAGATATGCATAAATCAACTACATTGTCTTCTTGTTGATACGTACAAGCGTCGAGATCCATGCTGCGAAATTGGTCTTCTTCGAATCAGTCGCGATTTTTACGACATGAGAATAATCCAAGATGCGCTAGAGTTAAATGAAAAACGCACCTTTTACTTTTAGAAATACGTTCTGTTAAGCATCCAATTTAGTGTTCTCACTAAGAACCAAACATATAGGAGAATACATCGTTTGATATTACCTCTTTTGGAATATTGTCAAGGAATTGTATACCGAATGTAATAGAATTTAATTTTTTCTAATATATCTTCTAGTTTACATGAACTACAAGGCTGAAGATTCAAAGGTTCAAAATCCAAAGAGAAAGGTTTTATATAACAATTAGAATACTTGAGAAAGTTAGAGTGCTCTCGCGAGAAGTTAACGATTTGTACAAACCATTTATAACATTTTCATATTCACAACGCTGGGATTCAGACGAAAAAGATTATTCTTGCCCATATTGATATGAGCATTCAGCTATTTTATCGATATCTTCCGACATACATTTGGTAATGTTTCTCCAATGTGGAACCAACATTTTCTAGACTCATGTGTTGCTTCTTACGTTCTCTTTAGTCATATCGGCACTAGAGGTATACAATATGGTTTTTTTGTACCCTGTACTCTACCCTATAAAAATTTCTCGTACCCTACCCTATGGACTTCAGACAGTTTGCACCCTACACCCTATCCAACACATGGAAAGCTAGGAGTAAAATGGGATCATTGATTGAGCGATCGAAATTCGTTTTTCTACATACAGTTTTATTCAAAAACAATAAACACACATTTTATTGCCGCCCAAAACTTTGCAATAACAATATGTCGCCAAGTACGTCGGGATTCAAGGATTATTGTCTTTGTTCTAATATTCAGCCAGTAGCAGTGAATATTCTTTCTGTTGTGACTGAACTCGCAGGAAAGCCACTAAAGGAGCGTATGTCTCTCAATATTAAGCGTTCTTTATCTTATAGGGCATCGCCTATGACAAACATCTCAATCTGTACCCTAGCCTATAAAAATGTTTCGTACCCTTAACCCATCCTATAGGATAGGGTAGGATCATCCTGCACACCTCTAATCGGCAATGATAACGTAGGCACTTGACATCTGTATGTATATCATTTAAACCTTTTGAATAAATTTGAACTTTTTCTTTTTGCATAACAGGTATGTGTTCTTAAATCTCATGTTTATTCCACTTATTTTACGATAATAACTCTGTACATTATCGTGAACTGTTGAAAAAGAAAACGTGACTTTATTTTTCCAAGCTGAAGCGTAAGTTTAGTCGCACGCTTTATCTTACGTACATTTATGTATTTCTACATCTTCATTAACATGCGATAAGAATAAAACAAAAGAAAGAGCGACTTTTCATACTTACGGCCGTCAATATTCACAAACGAAAGAAATGAGTATGAGAATGATATACGACTCAATCAATTTTTTTTCTTGATGTACAAGAAAAATAACTGTTTGATTTATAAGGATGAGTCGTTTAATCATGTATAATGTCTTATTTTCGTTTTTCTTTATCCATGCTGACCTATTATTCTTCTTACCTGTATAGACGTGTTTAATAACATAGCAAATATGCATTAGTTTATATTAATGTACTGTGTATGCAAAATAAAATTACTATGACTTCGATATTCACTGTCGGTATTATTGGCTGTGGTCCGATTGGAATTGAATGCGGTTTACATGCATTACACAATGGTTATAATATTCTATTATTTGAAGTTGGTGATGATTTAGCTTCAAATATTTGTTTGTGGTCACATGTACAATTATTTACACCATTTAGAATGAACATATCTTCTCTTGGACAAACATACCTTCAAGCAGAATTAACTAAAGATGAATTAAATAGTTATTTAACTGGACAAGAATACATTGAAAAATATCTTCGTCCATTAGGTTTAAAATTTATAAACAATATTCTTTTCAAGCATCGTGTTATCTCTATTGGTCGTTATTCAGATGAAAATAAATTTGTTTTACTTGTTGAAGATAAGAATGAGAATATGGAGAAATATTACTATGTTGATTATTTGATAGATGCAAGTGGCACATATAAATGTCCAAATTCAATTGGAATTGGAAATATTCCAGCAGTTAATGAACAAAGATTAGAATCTTTTATTAAATATGACATACCAAATTTAAACGATGATAGAATTAAATTAAGTTTGGCTCATAAACGTATTCTTCTTGTCGGTAAAGGTCATAGTGCAGCTAATTCAGCATTATTATTGGGTAAGTCTTCCCGTAATCTTTTAATAAAAATCTATATAATTTGAAAAAGTACAGGTCTATTGGTTTTCTGGTCTGTAATACAGGAGATCAAAGAATACCGTCAGTTGTTAAAATTTCATGTGATTAGCTTTCTATTATAGGATAAGATAGATTTATAAGGCGCATCTGACTATATGCTTGTTAGTAGGGATAACTTTTACTAATTATTACATATCCGTTAAAAGTATTAAGCGTTTGTTACTTATTACCGATAAAAAGGTAACAGATCTTGTTCTTTTATTACTTATTACTTCTTTATGTAATAATTTTTCATTATTTCACCTACTACTTTTTATTGCTTTTCTTCTTATTATTATCGACGCCAAAAACCAGCTTCCTTGGCTATCGCGATCTGCAGTTTTCAGATTCTGAAAAATAGACACTTTTCCACTAAGTAAAAACTAGTTTTGAAACTCTTCAAAAATTCTGTTTTTCGACAATCTTTGGAAAACAACGTTAGCAACCTATCGACTTTTTTCTATAGATAAGTAACTTAAAGTGTCTTCTTTGAATCTAAATCTAAGCAAACTCCAGATTTTTTTTAGTTTTCCAAGGAGAGTAAGTTTTTCTGAACAAGCGGTATCCTTAGCTTTTGCGGTTTGAAGACCCCAAAAAAGGTAGAAGTATAGGTAATCGACTGTAGGCTTGCAAAAGTGCACGTTTCATTCCTTGAACGTGAACATTGAAGCACCAGTGGAAGTGAGCTTTTTTTATACGAACGGTGTTCATCTCGTCTGAAGTAAATATAAACTTCTGTCCTTGTACTCTAGTAAGAACATATATTTCTGCTTGATCTTATCTGTAGAAAAAATTATTTTATTAGAAAAATCGCGTTTAGAAGTCCCAGCCAAAAATTCATCAAAGAAATTTTTTGTTAAAAACATTTGAGTGATTCCATCGCATGATTCGATCCAGTTTTAAAATTATTTTTATTACATGGATATCACATAGGTACCCAGTGCACAGTGTACATTTTTCTGCAGGCCAGGCAGACATTTTCTATAGACGCAGTTCGAAAGTCTGTAAACACTCTTTTTATAGGCTTTCAGATATGCTCTTTCCAATGGTGCGCTTTACAAAGTTCAAAGAGACTTCCATCTGGGTTCTCCAGAGACCCTGTCTCTAGAAAACCCACAACATAAGTATTGTGGAACTTCATAAAGCGTACGATTGGAAAGAGCATATCAGAAAGCCTATAAAAAGAGTGTTTACAGACTTTCGGACTGCTTCTATAGCCGATATCAAAATCCTTACGTTAGCCAAAATTATGACTCTGTACTTCGACTTTCGCGTTGCATTAGATTCAACAAGCTTCTGCTCCGAAAAACCTATTAATCGCACATTCGATGCAGTTTCTTGCGCGGATTCTCAATATGTCGTTTGTATAGAGTAAAAACATTTCTGGGTCTTGAAAAACGGAAAAGATCTTGAAAAAATTAGTATTTGTGGAAGACCTGCTGTAACGTTTAGAAACATTTGCCATTTTTTGTAGATCCACCATAGGTGGAAGACATAGAAAAACATTCTGCAAAATTTTGAACGATTTTTGCGTAAGTTTAATTTTTTCACCTATATTATTATGGCTAATTTTTGCGTAGGTATTTTCCCATACTTCATGAGCTTTTTAACAAAATTTTTCGTGCCATCGTCCAGAACATGTGTTAAAGTATGTATACTGTGCAGTGCTCAAACCTTTTAGTTTATATAAGAACCATACAACGTCTCAGATGCACCTTATAAATCTCTATTTTTCAATGGACTATATTGTACGGTTGATCCTGTTGTTTTATGCAATACTTTGCAAGTTGTACAACTTAGCAAAATAAACTCATATGTAATAATAGCTACAAAAACTAGAAGTGAATTTACAGTTGTCAACAAAGTCATTCACATTTCAGTGTAAGAGGAGAGCGTAAAATTTGGATTACCGCCTGATTCTAGGCAAGGGGGAAAGCACGGAATCTTAGAATCCTGAATTCTCCTGAATTCCATCGGATTCCCTATGATTCTATAGGATTCCATAGAATTCTCTTGGAATCCATAAGATTCCCTTGGATTATCTGGAAGCTTTCCCTAAAACAGAACATTTTTGTTCTGTTTCGGGAGAAGTGTAGAATCCCGGATTCCATCGGAGTCCACCAGATTCCAGCGAATTCTACCAGATTCCATAGAATTTCAGGATTCCGTGCTTTCCCCTTTGATTCTAGGTCTATCCAGTAGAGAAAACGATTCTAGGCGCCAATGATTAAAGAATTACGGTGATGCTAAAATATGACGTACTTGGGTTTTACCCGCTAGTTTTAACCGAGTTTTTTTCAGGCTCCTCCGCTCACGAGGGAAGGCCACCAACTGCCTCCTCGCTTTTGAGCTTAAACTCAGTTGACAATAGATAATCGAATGTGCTGATTCCAAGTATCGCAATGGTTTTTGCCCGCTTTCGATTTAAAGATCCGTTTTTTAAAGATCTTGGTTTTTCAATCGAAAAACTATTTTCACTAAAAAATTTCCTTGACCTGTCCAAATGAAAGAGCAGGTCGTCAAACCTACAGAAAACCATTTTTCAGGTTCTAAGCGAGATTTTGAGCGAGTCTTCTGTGTTTAAAACTTAAAAAAAGAGGGAAAAGCCGCTAATATTCTTGCACAATTTATGAAAGTATAGAAAACTTTTTCTAGAAAAACTACTGTTTTTCTTTCTGGTTAAATATTGGAGAGATAACTGTTTTCTTCCATTGGTTGGTGCTAAATGTTTGCTGCTATAAGACAGTTACCCAGGACAAAATCTCGAAGAACTCTATCAACCGGAAAATCGTCAGCGGTAAAAAGGTCACACGTTTACAAATACCACAAAATACAATTGACAAGCTACAGCCACTGAATTGTTATTTTAACAGACAAATTAAAAGTTTCCTCAAAGATGTTATCATCGTGTAGCGTTGGATGAACTAGATATACACTTACACGAACGAAATAACATCATACGTTTAGCCAGTCTAATGCACAATCAATTGAGCGCAGATGTATTCACGCCAATAATTAAATACGCTTGATTCTCCAGTGGCTTAATACGTGAAGATCCTTCTCCATTGGTCAGTGTTAATCGAGTTTGCTTTGCAAGTTCAGAAACTCATAAACAGTGTGAAGGAAAAGACTGCGATGAGTCTGTTTTATAACTTGTGCTCGATGTTCGAAGAAATTGTGTTTTCAACACTTTTTTACCAGTTATCATTTCCATTAAAAACACAGCAAATATTTTTACGAATCATGGCTCTGTGAAACTTGCATTATTGCCACCGACTCGCTCAAAATCTCGCTTAGAATCTTGAAAAATTGTTTTCTGTAGGTTTGACGACGTGCTCTTCCATTTGGACAGGTCAAGGAAATTTTTTAGCGAAAATGCTTTTTCGATTGAAAAACCAAGATCTTTAAAAAACAGGTCTTTAAATCGAAAGCGGGCAAAAACCATTGTGATATTCGGAATCAGCATGTTCGATTACCTATTATCAACTGAGTTTAAGCTCAAAAGCGAGGAGGCAGTTGGTGGCCTTCCCTCGTCAGCCTTATCCACTAAGTATTGTCTATTTCAACAAAGGTTGAACTTTGCAATTTCTTGATCAACTTTTAAACGAAGATAAACACAGACTTACCATTTTCGGCAATCGATAGCCAAGATCGAGGTACGTGATCTCATAAGTCAAATCATTTTTAAAGCAGGTTTTTCAGAGTATCTTCGAAAAACGGCTGCAGTTGCCAAAAACTTTCATAAAAAAAATATACTCATCTTTTTCCATGCGTAGCTAACCCAAAATGTCTTTTCAAATTAGGAGTTAAGACATATTTTGACTTCTGACAGTTTAGATAGGCATCAGAAATCCTCGAGGCAAATTTAATGACGTGGAATAACCTTAAAACTGCATGTAACTTATGTAGTTAGTAGTGTTTTGATACAACGAAAAAACCGAATGAAAATCGATTTTTTACAAAATCACGATTCATTGCCTATTTTCGCCTAACAATTCCCAATTCCACACAAGACTAAAAATAGTTTTTGATTCGATGGTTTCCTGAAAAACCCTTCTAACAACCCATCGAACTTTAGCTCATATTATAGTTTCTATGTTCAGAGTAGTCGATGTGCAACATATCATCAATAATAAATGAAGAGACAAGAAAGAACACACTGATACTCTTTGTGATCGGGACTTCCCGAAGTTAGCAGAACATTGTCTATAGTCACTTGATTTAACCGCTTTGTATGTTTTTTTAACCACGGATAACCTTTTATTTTAATGTATTCGAGACTCATAAGTACTTTACTTTTTCGTAAAACAGAAAGCTATTAGAAATCTAAATGACAGTCAGGATGTTATTCTAGACTAGATTTGGAATAATATTTCTTCATTTTCTTTTTCTAGCGCAGCTGAAAAAAGAGTATCCGGATACGCAATTATTTTGGATCATCAAACAAAAAATAAATCCTGAAAAACAGTCGCTTTATTGTTCAAATCTAAATGATCCATTAGAAAAAAGATATTTATTGGCAGAGGCGGTTAACAAAATTCATTCTGATGGTACTACTTTCAACTCAATCTATACAAACAGTATTATAACAACATTAAAATGTAATAACAAAAATTCATTAATAAATGTTACATTTATCAGAAATAATACAGAAGAAGTTTTGCAAAATGTTGATTATATCATTGCTAATGTTGGCTATCAACCTGATCGTGCTTTATATTCAAATTTAAATGTCCATGAATGTTATAAAACAAAAGGACCAATAAGCTTAGCTGCAAAATTATTAGCTAGTTGCAATGATACAACAGATTGTTTGAAGCAAATTAGTCATGGAAAAGAGAGTTTAAAAACAACGGAATCTAATTTTTTCATTGTCGGTGTTAAGAGTTATGGAAAATTAACAAATTTCTTATTGAAAATAGGTTTTGAACAAGTTGAACAGGTATTTCAATTGATTAACGAAAGCCGATAGTTTCAGTATTTACAAAAGCAGAGTGAATAAATCAAAGTTGCGTTTTATCAATTAATTTCTGCGCCGAGCTCGTTTGTCAACACCTCGGAATAAAAGAGAAGACTTTTGGTTCTCTAGAGTGATCACAGATAATTGACTATTAGCGACTTTACTAATGTCGTTCTGGTATTAAAAATAAAAATACAATGATAAATTCTACCGATGCCAGAAAATTCGAGAGTCAGTTCCCGCAAAATGTACATCTACATTTAATCGTTCATAATAACACCTAGTTGACTTTTATCACAATAAACTGAAACAGGTTGAATTTTACAAGTTCAGCTACAGTCAAAAAGAAAACTTGATTATATTTTTCTAATGGGGTTTTTCTCATGGCAACCGTACAAGTTCAGGTAAGACATTTGGATTCCATGCTAATCTTGTAAAATCAAATGATTTTGGGCTTCCTAACAAACGTATAGAGATCGAACCAGTGGTTCGGTCTCTATACGTTTGTTAGGAAGCCCATTCTTTAGGCTGGTTCGGAACCAGCCTAAAGAAAAGAATGCTTTTTCCCTGTTAGCTAACAGAAGGGCTCTGCTAACAGTTAACTCTTCGTTCTATTGCAAGTGATGCGATCTTTTTAGTTAACTCATATTGGTCTCAGTATAAAAAAAATCTGCATAGCTTATAGTCTACGAAAAATGACTTTATATATCTTATTTATACAAGGGGGGCAAAATAACACTACACTACATTTTGTCCACAGTAGTCCCAATGGTCTTCGTGAGACAGGAATCTCATGGATGCTACGAGACGAGATGAGACGAAAGTTTTAAAGTATCCGTGAGACAGGACAGGACAAGATGAGGAAGCCGTAAGACGAGACGGGATAGGTTGAAAGTTTTGAACCTATATATGGGACGGGACAAAAATTTCATCCCATGGCAAATCAGTCTGTGGTATTGTTGAACGTTTTAGTTGCTCAATACAGATGCCTCTTGATTGTCTTGAAAAAAGCTGCCACACTCCTATTTTCATTTTTCAGCAATCAACAAGGTTTCGAACCAGTCCGTGATGAAGTTGTTAGTGCTCAAAAGAGCTGCACAAAATTGCGTTGACGAAAAGAACAGAAAGCTTGCGGATATGTCGAAAGCTTTAAAATTCAAGAAAAACTAGTGAAACGTAGCGATATTTTGCCATTTTCATCATCCAAAACTATTTTTTCACAAAACCAAAATCTTCTTTGTATGCTTCAACAAACTTATGCATTGTTGCTAAAAGTGTTTTATGTGTTTTGATTTTTTGATCTTTTTGTTATTGGAGCAGGAAAAACGCTAATATCAGAAATGGCAACAGTGTAAAAAGCTTGAGTCCCAGCAGAAAGCCTTCAGCCCACCTGAATCCATTGATTTTTGTAATTCTATGAGGAATGGCCCAAAAGTCTGAAAATCATAGTTGTTTCCAAGTTTGACAGAAAATCTTTTACCTGGATAAGAATAATATATTCTTGATTATTAAAAATACAGTTGAAACATCAAATATAGATGAGAACTAGAAGAACAAATGGAAAACAAAAATAAAAGATTGCGAAATTAAACCAGAATTACGTTTAACAGTGTTTTACGTGAAAGCGTATCTTTTGTCATTTGTAGCTCTCTTAGAACCTCTAAATCAGAGATCCTGTTTGTCAAAACCATAATTTGCAGATTGTTTTAGTTGTGCTATCGAATTAGATACTTTTCATTGAAATCTAAATTTTGAACAGTTATGCTGTCTAATTAAATTCCTTAGTCGTCCCATGCAGCCCTCTTAAGAAGTACCGTTCATGTTTTTTAGAAACACGATATGATTAGCAGAATTATTCTATTACATTTTTTTTGCATTTTACACATATTTTATTTCCATAACAAATGCCTTTAATCTATTTGTTTTTACTCTTTCAGCCATCTTCTTAGTCACTGTTGTCAGGCCAATTTTTTCGCTTTGTAGCCGACATTACATGCTATTCGCTTATGATTAGTCAAAAAACTCCAAATGCACTCTGAGAGCTCCTATTAAAAGTTTTCAAGTAATCCCTATATCAGAAGTCTGTTTCCTTTATATTGTGATAAACAAACTTAAAATGAGAGAGTTGAGAATCCTCTATCATCCGTCGTTACAGTAACGAGTAGTCAATAGCTGGAAACTTGAAAAGAAATCCTTTGTTTTATCATTTTCTTCCACCATAATCGAGCAGTCACTATATGTAACGCTGAATATTTAGCAGAGAGGCTGATTAAATATTTTCCAAATGCAAACCGTGAAAGACGGCTACAACAAGAATTTGAGTCATATTAAAATATCTATTAGGGCAAAATATAACCACAAACTACTTCAACATAAAGACAGAGGGCATTACAGTGAAAAGTAACTTGTAAAAACGCTGAGTCATCGGTCTTTCCCTACCGACTATCTAGTACATTCTTGATATTCACTGTTTTTCGTATTCTAATTCAACGCAACTATTTTAAACTTATCACGCAAAAACAAAGAACGGAATTAAATGTCATTTCACCTTTTTATTGAATCCGCATCATATGAAACATAATCCTTTTCACTCAGTTCATGATAGCACAATTTTCACACAATGCATCGTTCGTTTTGCGAACATCGTAAACATCTGCGTGTTTCTACGCATAAAACATCCGGATTTAATAACCGTACAACATCCCTATAATTTGTTTCTAATATTAATGTAAAAAATGATCATGATGCTAGTGCAGTATTTCCTATCGAAATGCATGAAGATATACTCTTAAAAAATCTAATGTATATTAGTATGAAGCTCATTAAAGTCTGTATGATTTTCATATTGAAAGCGTTCTGAATTTTATTTAATTTATAGCGCAACTACATAGTTTAAAAAAAGTATAAGTTCGTAACATACTAAGCAACATGATCGTAGCGTTTAGATGATTTTTGAAAGTGGTTGTTTATAGGACTTGTTGTTATTGCGTTTGAAACAATTGAATAAGCACCCATGCACGAGCGAAATAAATTATTTTCTTCTTGTCAGTTTTGAAGAACAGTGTTTAATCTACTACAATTTTTCGTTAAAATAGATGTACTGGATACGACTGTAAGTTATAAGTTGCCACGTAAGTCAACTTAAACTTTTCAAAACCATTCAAACTCTACGATTCTGTAACTCAAAACATATCAGTTATACTCAGTTTCTCATGCTCATTCGAATGAGCTATAATACAATTTCTGAGTTTTTTTCAAAGAAATTGTAAGATTTCGCTTCAGTAGAAGTTTGATGTGAATAAAAATTAAAAGATATTGACAGAAGATAGAAACATGTACATATGACGGAACTCACCACGAACACATATAGATTGGTATATATGTGATATAAATTATGCGATGATAGAACATCAAAAGAGAAATAAAGATGATAGATCAAAAATAATGAATTTCACCTCGAAGATAAATATAAGACGTGGACTATTTCGCCTTACTTTTTCTCAGGATTTTCACTAGCAAATGATTCTGAAAATTTAAAATGCGACATTTGTCATACATGTGTTACAAAGGGACTTACCATTGATGATTTGAATAATATTAAACTATGGACAGATAATAATGAAACTACTGCTATTTATAGTTATTAGTAATGTAGTATTTTAATTATTCGAACTGTATGCAAACGGCAAAATAAATTATAGGAAACAACGTTGTTTGCCGTATTATGTGGCCCCATTAAAGGTTTCCTAACCAGCAAAACTCTCAGATGCACGGCGAAGTTATCTCTTCGGTTGATTTTAGTTGTATGATAATATAAAATATAAAATGCTATTCTGATTACTTACACTAACTGCATCTATCTGCACAACACGTATCCTCGTGATATGGTACGTTTATATCTCAAGAAAACACATTATCAACAACAAACACACATCTACAAAGCGATTTATAAATAAAAACATTTAAGTTGTAACATATTTGGCGTCAGTAGGTACTCCAGCATATGTTATGGGATACAGTTGATTTAAACGATTTTCATTATTATCAGACTCATGTGACCAATTTCCTTCATATTATTGTCGTATCAACAACAGGTCCGGTCCCATTTCATTCATTCAAAACCGATCACAATCCAGTAAGTAGAACAGTTACAATATCTAGTGACGCTGATAGCTATTATTTCGCGTACAACAACAACAGTTACCGCAAACTACTACACAGTCGATGTTGAGCAGAAATTCCCCCACAAAAGCAGCTGATTCGCCATCATCTTCAACAACATGTATGAAATCACCTGTACATATGCAATACTTCAAAGAAAGTGGGTGGGGTCTGCGTGTTAGACAGCCACCAACGCATCCTACGCCACAAATGAAAAAATTCATTGAATGTGCGTGTAAGGAGAAAAGTAGGGGGGGTTCGGGGACAGATTGACAGGAGAAGAACTTCACAAAAAAATGAGAGTGGCACGGGACATCCAGGGTGCTAAGATGTTCCAACCGAAAGACTACCTCACACCTCGCCAGTGTGAAAATCAACTAAAACCATTGTATTCAGGTAAGAAAATTCGCATTTAGTGTTTTCCAAAACGGGTTTCTAAACCAATGAACCCCTTTTGACGCGCTTTATTTTTGTGATCACTCTTGCAGGGCG